CGGCGGCGGCGGCGGCGGCCGGCCCACGCCTGCTGAAGCTGTCATACATACGTAAACTTATTATCAGCTAGCAATTGCCCGCGACTCCGTCCACGCAGATTAAAAAAAAAAGATAACTAGACTATGTTGTAAATCTATGCCAAATTTCATCAAGATCCATACCATGTCCATCACTGATCCTAAGTCGTGACCACATTAAGCCTTGGGATCGTGTTCAAACAAGATCAAATTTCAGATTGTAATGTGAACGTGATATGGTGTGAGGTGTGAGATGTACCTGAGTGCGGCAGGGCGGCGAGTGCGACAGAGCGGTCGTGGCGCACAACACCGACAGCACCGTCAGCGCCGAGAAGACGTGTGCCGGGTGCGATGGCGCGGCCCGCCGCCAGCGCCGCCTGCACCTGCGCCGTCATCGCGTTCACGATGCTCTGCGTGTGCGCGTTCTGACTTATATTCTGACAACAATATACACTTTCTTGACCTACTCCTGTCGAAAAACCCGTGCAGCATATTCCTATCGCTCTTTAATAAAAAAAGAATGAGAGGGATGACACTACGTTTTATAGAAATGTTTCTGCAGTCAAAACAAACAATTGATCGGTTGGTCAAAAGTATTTTTTGTAATGATTATTTGGGCATCTTAAATTTAAGAAATTGCCATTAGATGTGTCACCTGTGCAAAGTGCATATTATGCTGTCCGGAAAGCTGGAGCTGGCCGCGCTGCACGAGCTGTTGCCCGACCACTTGCTGCACCGGCTGACCGAACTGCTGCGCCCTCTGGCCCATGTTTTGTTGTTGCTGAAACAATTGTGTCAAAGTCACAAATGCCACCAACTCGATCGAATAAAATGAGTAGGTAAAATATAGTACTTGTTGTATCGGCAGCTGCAGACGCTGCACCGCCGTGGTGAACATCTGAGAGAAGACGGGCCGCTGCGGGGACTGCACTCCGCGCCACTCACCCTCAGGCTTTCCCTCCTCGTTCTCCAGTTTTATTTCAGATTTTATCTCTTGCATTGGAGTCTATAATGTTTATTATGAATGTATCATATTGTAAATTAGACCAAATTTAATATTAATTATAATATTTACTGAATAAAATATATTTATAATTGAAAAATAACTCACCTGTAAAGACATTTGCTGGTTCTGTGTTATAACTCTATGTACTCCCTCCGAATACATCTGGTTGACGTTGTGTGTCGGAGCCATTTCTGATTTCATGTCTTGATTTTCCGTTTTAATAGTATCTATCTCAGGTTTCACCTCCACCTTATTCTGTTCCATAATCTTGACGGTCTTTTGAAGGTCACTTTCTACTTTGACATCTGTTTTACTGTCATTATCATCACTAAAACAATAAACTTTGATATTACATACATTCAAAATGTCATAAAAACGATACTATCGCTAGATCTAAGCACAATAATGTTTATTTTAGCGAGAAAGTAAGTAAACCAGTTTGTTTTCTACATTACACAAAGTTTTAACAAATGGTCCTTCGAGCCGGAATTAATAATGAAATCGAGTGATACAGAGTAGATACCACACTGATACCCATATTTTAACAATTCAAAGGAGCTGTACTCACTCTTGCGGGCGCCTGACATTTCGGTCTGTGTTGCGATCGGGCTGACGTTCGTTGGCGCGGTCTGGCGGGCGATCGGGAACGTCGTCGGCGAGCTCTAGACCGTCCAGCAAGTGCACGTCGTTCAGCGCCGCCAGTTCGGGGTCCGCGTACTCCAGGATGTTGAACTGCTCACCCATCTCCGCCGTCAGCGACTCCAGCAGCGCCTCGTCATCCTCGCCTCCCAGACCAGTCAATATATCCTAATACATTTAACATATCTTCGTATAATATAGGATACCTAACCTAACAATAAACATATTCTTATTCAGCCAAATTTGTTAGACTAAAGAAAAAGTTTTTTTTTATGAATAACGGAGATATCCACTTCATCAGAAAGATCTGAAGTGGTATGACATAGTTTCGTAATACTAATGCATTGGTACGAACCTCTCCAATGTTTCCAGTATCTTGTTCCAATTTATCCATATCTCCCATGTCCATCTCGTCCGTTCCTTGTTCAGAAGCAGAATCCTGTTTATTGTCTGCTCCCAGATTTGAAACTGTTAAAAATGTTTAACATAGTTAAGACAACTTATTTATTACGAACACATATTGCAAAAGTACCCATATAAGTAATAAAATATATTAAAAGTAAAAATTTAGTTCTTATCAAGACTTGAATATTTTAAAATCTCGAAAAAATTCATGACTATATTAAAAAGTTGTCAGCTACTTGAAGGTTACAAATGTTTCAGTGAATGAAGAATATCATTGGACTCATTTGTATCTGTATATTCAATGTTGCTAGTTTATCTTCTCCATTAATAAACAAGACGATTATAACTTGAACCGACTTGCAGAACGATGGAGGTAAAACAACATTTATTCAATATTTCATAGCAATTTAAAGGACATATGTATTCAAATAAAATGAATAGACGATAAAACAGTAAGTACTAATATAACATTTCTAACCATTAGATTGTTGCGCAGCCATAGATTGCTTCTGTTCCATGAGATGCTGAGCTACTGAGTGTGGAATGTTCTGTTGCATCGGGTTGCTCTCCGCACCCACAATACGTTGTTGCATTATTACTGTTAACAAACATGTTAGTTTTATATGCATGTAAATTTTAAGTTTCCTTAGTTAGACCATAATAAATATACTAACACTGGTGGTCCGGTCTCTGTCCCGGCTGCAGCGGTGTGCGAGGGCGCAAAGCTACCGGCAGAGGCTGCCTGAACGGCTGGCCTTCTATATTCATACCTTGTAATGCACCTTCTTCACCGCCTGCTTCTGTAGCAAAAAGCAAACAGCTATAACTGTATGTTTACTCAGATTATAAAGAACAAAGGTTTTTACAGTCAACTTACGCGGCGGCCACATCTTGTCAGGATGGCGCTGCAGCAGGTCGCGCAGCTGGCGGTTGATGTCGTCGTTGGTGGCGTAGTGCAGCGGGAAGCGCTGTGCGGGGAAGGCGCTGCGCGGCGCCTCGGCAGTGGGCGTGGTGGGCGCGGGGGGCGCGGGCGTGGCCGGGGCGGGGCTCGGCGGCGGCGCGTTGCTCGGCGGCGGACTGCTGTCGGGAGCCCGCATACGCTGCATCGCTGCTTTAATACACAGAATATTCGCTATTGTTTAAAAAATGCATGAAAATTAGTTTGATGCAGTGTAATGGAGTGTAAGTTACCTTGTATCCTCTGATCGTGTATGATCTGCTGCTGCTGTTGCGTCTGCTGCTGGCGCATCTGCTGGAGCTGCTTCCATTGGCGCTCCTGCTCAGCCTCGCGCGCGCTGCGCTGACCGCCGCAAGCCCGCTCCTGATCCTGCGTCCAGACCGCACGGTCACGCGGGGCCTGCCACTGCCACTGTCGGCCAGTGCGTCCCCACACCACACATTACTAACACTATCTGAACGTAATCTCTCTTATATATTCTTGTTATATTTGTATTTATCAAAATTTGTTCTGAATGAAATATTTATTAAAACTACAGTTGCAACTAATTTCAATCTATTCCTCCGAATTAAATTATTAAAATAACATCATATACGTTCAAAATAAGTACTGAGAAAGTATGCTGTGCAGATTTATTTTCTTCCTTTTTTATTAAAGATTATCGCTATCCTATTCATCAATCCTGTCTGCGTCTTAAGATTATATCGAGTTATCTAAGTCAACAAAATGTGTACCTACACAGAAACACATAAGAGTTTCCTGACTATAAGATGGATAAAAAAATAGATGATACTCGACATTAAAGACTGTAAAAAGTTGCAAGTTGATATACCTGATAATAAATTTTATTAAGATTATTTAACTTTACTCAACCCAATATTACGTACAGATAGAAAAAACGTTGTTAATTAGACAATTAGGGATTGATCAGGGTTATAAGAATATATTCGTTGAGCAAACCCTAAGGGCGACAAGACTGGATAGTAATGCCCCATAGAGATAGCTACCAAAACGATACCCATTATTTAAAAAAAAATCTATTTTAACGTCACGTATTTTACACAGAAACCATCTACGACAATATATTACAACGACAAATAATTTAATTAATTTTATTTTAAAATATATTTAATTGATTACTACACAGTATTCCTACGCTTATATAACCAGAATTTTGCGCACTTTTCGTACAGCCATTCAATAATTTACCTAAGTAATTGCACATCTCTTTCCATATAAAACTAGGAATACTTTTAAAAGGGTAAGAGAGTAAGTAAGGAGCTTACTATTTCTAGTTTTTGAACAACGAAATCATCAAATATCCTCTGATCAATCAATATTATATTGCAAAAAATATATCAGTGTGTAAATTCTATGTACAGATAAACTAATTGCTGTTAACTCATATTAATTATTAAATCCCTAAAACCTACAAGTTTTATCACATGCTTGTGTTATTACAAATGATACTTCTAGTAAATTAAGTATCACATTCTCCTTCTAAAATCAAAAATCTACAAAAAAAGTATATGAAGTATATGAATTAAATTTTCAATGTTAATTCTAAACTAAGTGTAATCATACATCTCAAAAGATATATTAATAAAAAAAATAATTAGCATTGGATTTAATTTTTTTTTAAAACTTAAATCTAAGCGACACAATGCAAATCAACAGTGGACTACAATAATACTATTATGTTAGAACTGTTAGCACACCACAACCAGCCACCGACGAACCAATGTTAAAGCCGACACTACCAAGGCAAAGCATCAAATAAAAAAAATCAACATTACGGAGACAGGGATACGAGTCCTGGAGGCGATCTGAGAATAGGACCCTCCCTTATTTAAATAAGCTAAAAGAAAATTTAAAAAAAAAAACAAACACACAGCTTTACAACGCCATTGATTTGCCAAACTTGTTTGTTGGGTGATGAGTAATTTTGAGTTAGATCAGAGAGAGTGAGACAACGCGATCACCCAACAACTTTATATGACGCTCGCATACACATTTCTGCTACCATTTTCTGTTACTTGTAGTGAAATGTTCCAATGTTTGTTAAATTTTGTAGTGTAAATGAATTCAAGGTTTAGTTAAAGTTCGTTATGCCAATAAGTGGCCAAGTATACAATAAATTTAACCAATTATTTGAAAATAAATTAAACATAATACAGAAGTATACATGTGATAAGCAGAATGTTAAAATACATATAAATAGATAGTAAAATTCTATACATATAATAATAATAAAAACAAACAGTTGAAAGTACAAAGACCAAAGCGCCACTTTTTTTGTTGTAATAAAATACGAAGTATTGTGGATGTTGGTAGCAGAAATGTGTGGGCGAGTGTACAGCAGCGGCGGGGCGGCGGGGCGGCGGGGCAGCGGGGCAGC